ATTTCTGAAATTATACCTGTAGTTTTCTAGTTGTATTTAAAATATATGTAGTTTTAGGTTCAATTTCATATTAATATCAGCGATCTGATATTCCCACAATTAAACTTAAAATTTATATTTCCTATCGGTTTTCTGATATTTATCCGATATTATTCCGGTTATGCAACTGCTGATATGACTTCATTCGACCTGTGTTCACTTGGTCGTACCCTGGAGCAAACCCCTTTACAGAATACAGATCGTTAGTTGGTACTATGAACTATTCTCAGAATCTTCATTCTTTAAGTCTATATTCCGGTATATTAGATGCTTTTCTAGAACCTTCTACCACCGTTTCAACTCTGCCTTGGCTTGATAACTCCTTAATAAATGCAGTCAACTGGCTTAAAGAAAATAACCCCTATTTATATGAATACACTAATTTGCTTCAAACCAATTCATCTACCCAACCACCTTTACCAACAGCAACTCATTTATCTGGTGATGATAATATATCTCTTATACAACCAGGTGAAATTATAGTTCTACATCAAAATTTTTCTGCCGAAATTTATAATGAAGATACCTATTATCGTCACCTTATAGCTGGATTTTTAACAAATAATAATTCTAATAGAATTCCAATTTCCTTAAATGATCCTAACCTTGAGCTATTACTTTTTTCTGATTTATATCCTGATGGTCATGGCTACTATCGTGAAATACGTTATCAATCAAGACATACACTACATCACCACGAAACTTTTGGAATATATATCAAGCATCGCTTACTTTCGTTAGATCCTCGATTCCATTTACATCATTATTGGCCAGCCTGGTTATACCTCCAACTAGAAAAACTCAGAAACTTTCAGAATACACAATCTTTAGTTCATCAATCAAATGCTGACTTAATACATCATTTACTGACTGCAATTAAAATTATTGAACGAAGCATCTACACTGATAGTTGGTGCTATAACGAAACTAATACCACACCTATTCCTACATTCATCCGTACAGGAGATACCTATTTCCAACAAAAAACTCTACACTTAAATATAATGATACGTGAATTTGGACTTCCGACTATATTTATTACCCTATCAATAGCAGAAGGATTATGGTATCATCTTCGTAATATTCTCATTAACACCGACAATCGTGATCTATTATCTACGAACAGACCATTATACACAACCTTACATTTTATTCATAAGTTACAAAACCTTAAAAAATTTATTTGGAAAGATCCTGAAATTAGTGAATGGAGAATATACCAACATTTCTTTGATAGGATTGAATTTCAAAATCGTGGCGCAGCCCATCTTCATGGTGTTTACTAGACTACTTCCAGTATAAATCAAATGATCAATTTAAACACGATTAAATCAACTCTCCCAAATCCTAACTTAGAATCTGATCTCTACCAAAAAGTTCGCTCATTATAAATACATATCTGCAACTCCAAATGTGGTGGCCCAGCGCCAACCAGTTCTAGATGCAGAAAAGGATTTCCTCGTCCCTTTGCTGAACATATCTATTACGATCCAACTAACTATAGATATACATATCAGTGTTTAACACCTGAAGACCAAT